CTGATTCTAATGGTGTGCACTGCCTTCTTCGAATCCTAAAATATTTAAGTGTAGTGATGAAGATAAAATGTCCTAGCTATCAGAACCAATTAGAAATTTAGGTTAATAGTTCAGGACAGAATAGGTTCATTCTCACAATAGGTTTACGAGAAAAATGAACAGCGGACACTTTCTCTTTGACCGTTCTGTGCTAGTTTAACACTGTGCTACGTATGCAAACACTTAATTTTATTTATTCAAAACCAACAATTTTAAATTGGAAGAATAATCTGACAGAATATAAAGTCTTGAAATTATGTGTGTTTAGTAATGAGAGCATTAGTTGGTAACAATTTATTAGCTCAAGCAATACATAAATTGCAGGAATATGTAAACTGAAAGTGATGAGTGAATGAAAGTGAGTATGCGGACAGAACGGTGCAAACGAAACTGAGCAAATACGAAGGCTATTGCAATTCAAATATGTAATTTGTTTTTGCTGGAAGCAAATGACGAAAGATACGATGAAGAACTAAGTATCTAATTTTAACACAAGCTCTTCACAACGTGTTCAATATTAGGTTGAAGCTAAAATAGCATTAATAACAAAGAAGATATGCATATCTTAAACCTGAACAATATTTTGTCCAACACAATACTTATTGTAGCAACTTGAGTTAAACAGTTCATTTTATTGTATAGATCGTTCATATAGGATTCAATTTGACATTTCTTCTGTAGGGGAGCAAATAATAAAGGGATGTTGATAGTGATTAAATTGTTATATGTTAGTGGATAATTTAGCTAACGCTTTTACCATGGCACAAAATACGTAGGACTCGCAAATGTCACAAATAAATCCATCCTAAAACCTGTAGTAATGTATAGTAAAATAAAAAATAAATCAATAACGGGATTGGGAATCAGTCAAGAACATATACCATTGCACCAGGAAGGAATGATCTTATTCGAGTATGCAAGTAACATAACTCGATCAGAGAGTTATTGTGATGGACACGTTAGTCATTAAAAAGAAGCTGTGGAAAATTTATTAAGAGGGAAATGGATGGTTGAATGGTTGGAAGATAAAATTTAATCCAGTTTATTTGAGCTGTGGTAATACATCTTTTTGATTACGAAATATCAAACTTTTACTAGTAGGTGCACTACTGCTACTTCCGTTTCAATGAAGACTTCGTTTCATCAGTTGTATTTTCTGAATTTTTTCATGTCAACGTAATCGTATTTCACAGAACCTATCATTCTCAATCAATGTGATAATTTAGTTGCTATTAATTGGAGTAACATTTACTGGTCACCAGGGACTTTGTGTTTTGCGAACAGTGTTAAAATAATTTGAAAATTTTAAAGATACATATTAAACAAGTGAGTGAAACAAACCTTGCTATTTCTTGCTTTAAAAATTCCCAAAGAGGGAATTCGATGAGTGAAAATGGGATTTCCCGGAACACAGTACTGAAGAAACCCTGATAGAATCCAATGAATCCTGGAAAAAATTGAAAAAGCATTCTCAATTAGAAATAGTTAAGTCTAGAGAAAGCAAATTGTATGAAAAATTAGAAATTATTTCTAACAAAAGTAATATCTGAGCCTCAGATAATTTGTACAGAATATCATCAGCAACTCATTGAACAAAGGGTCAATCAACTAAAAACGAGAACTCCTGGACTTCTAATAATGGAAAAACAATAGAAATTTAGCACTAATATGCTGATTAATAAAAGAATAAAGAAAGATTCAAAAGTTTTAAGAGATTCTTTAGTGAGCAAGCTATCATGGAAGAGTGTAAATCAAGAAATCTTGAAGATTCCACCAGTATATCAAATATAAGGTCCCAAAATCTTAACAATTTCAACTATTAATTTCATAAATATCATGTGATCCTATCAAGTTGCAAAATATATACATAACTTTGGTCACTTGCAAAAGAATTATTTGAATCACGAATTTTAAATCGACCACTGTAAGATACAAAAAAATATACCACTTCGATTATAAATCATTCGACAAATTATGCCCAAATGATGGACATGCTTTGCCTGCGCACGTTGTTTCACTAGTTCGGTAGGTACGCGTACAATGCAAGCAATAACTTCTGAGAAACTAGCTGCACTTGCGTTCACAGCTACTGCTGAAAAAATTTTCCACTTTACCAAAACCAGTACAATGAAAAGGATCTAATATTTGAAACATAAAGTATGCAGCCGGAAAACATATTGATCAGTATTTTATCTGTCAAAAATATTATTTGATATCATTCTGTCACAGCTGAAGAGAACGATAAGAGACTTAATAACTTGGCAAAAAAGTGGAAGACACTTAATTTATACTGTTAACACTTACAGTTTGAAAAAAGTAACCTTTCGCAGCGTTTATTAGATCCCTACGGCTTATCTCAATTAGCTTATAGTTCTAACTACTGTCATACAATAAAACAATAGTAGTATCCATTAAATGCTATTTTAATCACAATTATTTACTTGCATTCTTTGCCGGCTAATCGCTTTAGCGTATTATATGTAGAAAAGAACAGTGCTGCACTCGGCGCAGAACCAATAATCACCGATCCCATACCGCGATAGATATTTCGCAGTCCACCTGCAGCAGCAAATCCCTGAAATATTATAGCGAGTTAAAGACTTTAAAAGAATATCTTTTGCATCGTATATTCCTAAATCACACTACAAATGCAAAAAGTCCACCAGTCAGTATGGCAAGTTAAAATGCGAAAAGTAAAACACATTGAAATTCTATTATGTTCAAAGTCTTATCGTACAGACATAAATAGATGTGTAGAACATATGATATAATAAATGTTTATATTATTACCTCAGAACTTTGCAATCTAGTCTTTATAGTATCCAGTGGATATAATGTTAAGTCTACAACCAATCCAGCAGTAGCACCACAAAAGAGCGGTCGACCAAACCAATCCATAACAACACGACAAATTGTAAATCATGAGTTGATTTCACACTGAACAGTTCATGTCGATGCAAAAAAAAAAAAAAAAAAAAAATATTTATTATTGAAAGAGCTTTGTCTTTGATACAGTACTGAAAACTGTCAAATGCATTTAATGCCATAGTTGTTGCACTGCAGTGAAAATCAAAATAACCAACAGGTGAATTGCCTCTTCAAAGAAAACTGAGATTTTTTCAGAAGTTTTTATTACCAATAAAAATAGAAAAAAGGGAATGGAAAAGGCACATACATGCTATGACAACAGAGGAAAAATTAAGGAATGGAATACAAAACTAAAGGCAATAAATAAGATGCATATAAGAAAAATCACTCGTTTTAAATTAATTAACAAATAAATGTACAATAAATTAATTAATGGATAAATATAAAAAGACCTTTCAAAAACAATTTCTTCAATATCGAAAGAGGTTTTCTGTGACGAAAAAAGAACTTTAAGGAAATTTTGGGAATGAAATACCGCATAAATTTGTTCCACTTCAGTAATGACTGAAATTACCGATAATCTTCCCGAAAACCAAAGAATTAAGTGTTAATTCTGAATTTTCGTTGTATAGAAGTTAAATGTTTTTGAAGATTAACTTTTTGCTTTTTCAACTTTTTTTGTAGACCAAAAAAAAAAAGTTGAATGTTACCCAAGACAGTTTAAATGAATGCAATGCCGAAATCATAAATAAAATAAACTATCAAAAATATCATCAAAAATCAAAAATAAATATAACAGAACATGAATCAGTGAAGTGATGCACCAAAGCAATATCAATACATCATATATGCAGTATTAACTTTCATTTACTGCATGTATATGAAAGGCTTTGACATTGAAATAAGGAACATTTGCAAAAAGTGAAAAAAAAAGCAAAAAGCAGAAGATAAATATACTATTTTCACTTAAACATTAAAAACTTTCTCAAGCTCGCTATTAGTTAAGAATAACACCCAACTAATTGCTACTCCAAAAAATAATTGACTTTTGTGACTCCTTTGAAAAGCTCTCCACTTCTCTATTTTTTTTTAATGTGAAGTACCAGGAAGAGATAAATAAGTGAGATGGAATATTTAGAACGATTAGCATCAAAAAACGAAATGAATAAAGCTTGGTTACAAAGAAGTGAAAACACCGGAAATAGAAATAAGTGATAAAAAGATAGTGAAAGTATGATATCACAGCTGTCAAAAGGAACGTACAGCAAGTAATAAGACATATGTGACTCTGCTTGTTCAACTATAATGCGAATGGAACATTCTTCTTTTTTCTATGATTAGTTAATTATCATTTTCACATTCTGTTATGAAATTTTATGTCATTTTTCTTTCTGTTGTCTGCAATGTTTCCGCAAATTCTAAACTATCAGAATGTAGAAACCATCTTATATCAGAAGAAAATGGATAAACAAATCAGTGAATTTTTCAGTAATGTTAGACTATAAAAAATTTCAGTAATGCTATGAATAAAAGGAAAGAAAAAAAAAGTGAAAAAGAATTGTAATATATCAAGATGAGAAAAAATAATATGCAATCATTCGAAAGACATGAAATAAGCATAAAAGAACATTTCTCTCCGAAAATATATAAAAATACAAAAAAAGAAAAGAAACCAAAAAGCATATAAATAATGATTATCTTATATCCCATAGAAAACAATTCTGATTCAGTGATAGAACAAGAAGTAATTTGATAATTTTGTCCCTCTAGGGTTAAATAGGATTCATCGTTCTATTTTGCATGAACAAACTACAGTTGCATAGTTATTTAATTAAAAAAAGCTGGTAAAAATAAGTGAATTATGTAGAATGCAACATTATGAGCTCATTTGTTTGTGAAGGTGGAAAGAGAAGAAGCTTTTCTTTGCTCTAAAACACACTAAAATGTATAGTAAGATACTGTAATAGCATTCTTCAAATAATAATAATATAATGATTTAAATTGATGGGAAACTAAAATTTGTCCAATATTAAACAATAACTTTTCCTTTGACTTTTCTTCTTCTCCTTTACTTAACTCATCTTTACTTTGGCTTACAATAATTTGTACTGTCTAGCTAATGTTCGATTGAATTCTTGAATCAACCAATGCTGATATGGATTTGCTTGATCACAAACATTCATCATTAATTTGCTACCATCTCTCGACATTTCCAAACATTTGCTCGTAATGACATGAAGAATTTGACTTTCCTACAGAATATGGGATTTAGACAGCTCTGATCCTTCCTCGACGAAGAAAAAATTTAAAGTATAATAGAGAAAAATCGAATGAGTAACTAATCATGTTCCCATTAGCAGTACTGTTACTTATTTGGTCAAAAGTTTTACATATAAAAAGATGAACTCACATCAGGAAGATATTTCCATTCTTGATTACCTTTCATTCCATGACAAGGATAAACCATAACATCGGCACCAGCATAGTCAATACATGACTCATCTCTCCGTATTTCACCATCCTTACTTAGCATCCAATACTGCATAAATAAGTTTATAAAAAAAATATTTCAACATAAAAAAAATAAGCATAGTTTGGTAACTGTGAAATTGCTTTTCTCGGAATCTGCGCAAATGAGAGCTTCTTAAATATTAGATTTGCAGAATCAGAATGCTAAGTTTCAATCTTTTTCAACTTTTTTTTTTCTCTTGTGCCATAAAAATTTGTTTTGCTTGCAGCATTCCTGGCGACGGAAAGCTAATCAGGAAGTTTGGCGTCACTGTACATGTAGAAACAGCTCATAAGAGTCAAAAAATGAGAGAGAAAGAAAATATCGGATGTAAGTAAAAGTGCACTTAATTCTTAAAAGTAGCTATCACATATTATAAGAATTGAAAGAATAAAAAGTCTTTTCTAATTCTTAATTATTTGAAAAGAATAGCTTTTAAAAAAGTGAGCAGACAGATTTAATAGTCTTATTTTAGCATATACATATCTTTACACTATGCGTCAAAAATCGCAAAGAATTCAAACAGATATACTCATTGCTTTTGCTTTTAGCAAGTACTGTTGCATTCTCCTAACAAGTGAGAACAAACAAGAAATAACTCCTTTCCAGAATATTACTATTACACGTATAATATTTTGAAAGTAGTAACTTATCACGTTCTCAACAAAAAAGTAAACAAAGTGTAATATACATTGCAAACCATATCAAAGCGATGAAATATACCTGATTACCGCCCTTTTTATGACACCAGTACAGACCCACATTTGCCGATCTTTGCCTTCCGTGTGATGCCCAATCTAAACAATTCTTCGATCTGCCTCCTCTGTTGCGAATCTATAGAGATGCACGTTATTCCTTTCATGAAGCAAATACTTCATGAATTTTTCGCACGACAATTTCCTATCCAAAGAAATAAATAAAAAAAAAAAAAAAAGAGCGATAGTTTTCAGTGCTGCTGCTGCAGTACTGCTTGACATAAAAGAAATAACAAAACACGGACAAAAAATGAAACATCAAATATTGAGAAACAGAAGCTGCAAGCAACAATAAACCACAGCAAAAAATTCATTTCCTATATGCAAAACAGACCATGCGCAGATTCCAATAAGCACGTGCTACCTTAATAAAGTCTTTCTAAGATAGTGTTAACGAATAGTTTACAGCTGTATTGCTCAAACAAGAACAAAATATGCAGCAAACTGGTCGTTAAAGACAAAAAAAATTACTACGGAGAAAGTCTGTCATTAAGTAGATTAGCTTTAATAATGTGAGTCTCTTTTCGGGTGCTCTTTTGTGAATCATTTTTGAGTAGTATTTATAATCAAAAGAAGGGAAATATAAATCCACCAAATACTTTTAGTGATAAAAAAAATATTCAGTGTTTGAATTAAGGAACCTGGTTACCACCACTTTTGTGACATGGATACGCAATCACGACTTTCTGAATATCTTCGCCCACCTCACTATCCAGGCAGTGTTGGACAACATCCCCTGCCACTTCGCCTTTATTACGAATCTGAAAGTGATCCTCCCATTTACTCCCTTTGTGTTAATGAATACTGAAAACTTCAAACCACTGCAGAAGTTATGCAGAAATTAATAAATATCTGCTCCAGTACCTGCTGATACATACATATATTTGTCATATAAACGTTTAAATTAAGAGTTACTACAGTAACTCTTGCCACTGCAGCAGCAATTAATGTTGTAGAGACAGAAGAGATACATAAATCCATCGTTCACTCAGTACTTCTTGAGACTAAAAATTTCACGTGAAAATATTTTAAAGTCAGGCCAGTATCAGCAGCAAAACTCCATAATCGAAGTTGATTGTATTTCATCATTTTGGATTAACTCAGAATGACAAAATGAAAAGTATTAATGTAATATAAACAAAAGATTTAACTACCAGAAATTAAAAAGTGCATGTAAAATAAAGTGCATCCATCATCTTTCATCGGTTAAAAAAATTAATGGATTAGTACTCAAAGTGTTCGTACAAACACACGTTATTACGAATCTGATGGACAACGCCAAAACAAGAGAAACATCACCAGAACCAAAATAGAAACGAAGCATCAAAAATTGCAGTGCTCAAAAAACAGCAATGGAGGAATATTCGAATAAAAAAACCTAAATTCTAAATGCCGAAGCAAAAAGCTAAGAATATCAGTAAATAATTTAATAAGTAATATCTTTATGATGAAGAAAAGTACCTCTCCCTTTCCAATGGCATCTCCTGGAACAAATAATTCTGGATACACATTATCCAAATACCACTTGAAAGATTTGCATTGTAGTTTCTTACGTAGTGCCTTCCTGCTGCTTACATCACCAAAATCACCCTGATCATTAATGAATGGTAATTTATATTTATCAGTTATTTTTTCGATGATAATATAAATGGATTAAATAGCTTTCCTTCCCAAACTTAAAAGATGTAAGTATCAGAGAATAAGAAAGCAAAAAAAAAAAAATTCACAAAGAGAAAATATCAGCAAAAATAGGGATCCATTTCCATACGTCATACCAGAACAAGGAAATTAATCAATGACACAAAAAACGTTTGCTTTTCCTACATTTCCTTCCTGTATTTTGAATAATGAAAAACTTTACCAGGTTGTTATTAATTCTTTCGTAGTAGTACTTCTTGTATTCGTCCATCCATACCTAAAATACATTTCTTTACCCTTCCATTAGGCAGACAACAACATAATGTTAAGAAACTGTCCTGAAAATTTTCAAAAATTTATAAAAATTGCTGCCATATTCAATTCAAAAATGTACAAAATCAAAAAAATTCGTAAACTCACCTCAGCTAACCGAACAGAATTTCTCTTCAAAACATTCACACCAGAACGCCATTTATAAGGTGATCGTTTGCGAAATATATGACCAACATGACTACATGGAACAATTTCTAGTATTCCACCACACATCCATATCTAGAGCAAATATTTATTTCATTGGAAGAAAAGTGAAAAGGAAAAAAGATGATGATTGAAAATCATTCCCATATCATTAAAATAGTCTCCATTAACCAAAGTACATGAAAACTTTTTTCTTATTAGTTAAAGTACCTTAGAAACTTAAAAAAAATTTTTTGCACCCAAACTTAATGACTCTAGAAATAATTTTCAATAATAGAATCAAAATCAACTAACTTTGAATGAAAGTTCCAAATTTTCCCCACCCCAAATATCGAGACCAGGGTCATATGAACCTAATTCTTCAAAAAAAGTACGGTCGATGGAAAAAAGGCCACCGGCCATAGTTGGAGACCTGAAAAAAATAAGGAATTTCAAATATTTCCATATCATACATCTATGCTAATCGCTTCCTTAACATTGCTCTCTTTCACCTCTTCTTTTAGTGATAATCAAAATTTTCAAGTAAGTTGAACTGCATATCTTCCGAGACAAATGTAATGAATCCTGATGCTAAATTATTCAACATACAAAACTTTTGAAGTCAAAACTCGTACTTGACGGGATCAATGTCCCTTCTACCTTTACGGTCCTTCTCAGGAATGGCATGCCAATTAAACTGTAATGACCAATCGAAACCACCCACATTCGTGAAGTAAGCCTTCGAGTAGTGGTACTCAAAGGTGTTATCATCAATCACATCAATAACAGGGCATACCACTGTTTTCGGATTCCTTTTGATTCGGTCCAAAAGAGGTTCTACCCAACCTAAAACGAAACAGAACTTCGAAACACTGTAAAACATTTTGAACCAATATTGAAAATTTTTTAAGATATAACATAATGACATCTGACACTAAATTATTCACCATCAAAAAAGACTTTTCTCCATCACTTAACTTTTTTTTTTTTAATACAACATTCTGGGTTCATAATGCATACAAAATAAAGGAAAGTTAAAAGCTTTGTTCAACAACAAAAAAATAAATTCACCTTCCAAACATTCGCAATGAGAATCGAGATATGTGATCACAGAGCCTTTTGAAATAGCAGCTCCTCTTATGCGAGCTCTTATTAAACCTTCGCGTTTTTCCAGGCGCAAAATACGAACTTTCGGAAATTGCTGCATATAAATTTCCAAATCTGCCTATATACAGGTTATATTTTATGCATATATTTTGAACGGAAAAACACAAGCAACCTCGTATTACTTTCAATATATCCAAATCACTGGATCTACTGAATTTCAATACAAAAGCAAATCGAGAAAAGTTTTATCAGAAGTTCAAGATGTACTTCTCAAAAATGTATTCATAAGTTTTCTAGATTTATCAATATAACTTTCTGAACTTAAGAAAAAAAAAACCTTGAGATGTGCCATGTCCGAAAAATCATCAACCAAGATAAGTTCAGCAAGTAAGTTTTCCGGTGTCCTTTCAAGTACACTATGTACGGTTCGGAGTAAAACTGACCAAGCTTCGTTATGAAAACATATAATAACCGAGGTGTTTGGAAGGTCGCTTGTGTATTTTTCGTTTTTACATCTAGAACTACACAAAAGTCAAGCAAATAAATATTGATCATGATAATGCTATTTGAAGAAATGTAGATACAGGAACAAATAAAAATTAGTCCAAAAAGAAAAAAATGATTTTAGATCAATTTTTTTTTGTTTTGTCTTTCCTTCCTATTGATAAATCTAACCATTAAGTTATAATCAAAAATTCATTGAGTAAATACAGTGTCTCTGGTAAACTCATCAAAATGCTATCGGTACGAAAGAAACTCTAATCAATCTCATTTACAAGAAAATAAAGAAAAATAAAAAAATAAAGAACTGCATAAAAATAGACACAAACGTGGATAATTTTTATCTTCAACGAAGATAAAAAATCACAAGATACAAATTTCTCAACAGAAAAACAAAATTGTCGAAGATAACTCACTCTTCGTCAATATAGCTAGGCAGACTCCTGTGTATCGAAATCATATCTGAGATGTATTGATTAAAAGCATTCTTGGTGAATCCGTCATCATAAATTTTTCTTTCATCTAGACTCAGTTTCTGGAAAATAACATATATTCATATGCAAGTCTGTACTCAACTAAATTTGTAGCAAAATTAAAAAAAAAAATAATAAAACTATAAACACTAACATTTCTATCGATTACCACTGCCTTCCCACCTTCACCCGGCTGGTTTTCATCACCCGATTTGTAGATTGGAGAATCTGGATTGAATAGAGCTTTGTTTGGCTTAGGAATATTCCCCTACAAATGAGCTTTTAATTGCAGAATTTCTGCTTCATGAAGTAAGCGTTCTGTTTGTTACACTTCACGCAGATTAACAAATTAAAATATTGTAATAGTGCAGCGCACACCATAACAACTTGCTAGTAAATAAATACCAAAATTACTTCTACATTTACTGATTTTTTTTTTTTTTTGTTTTTTTGCAGTCATCAAAACGCTGCAAAAAAATTCCTTATTGATATAAAAATAAAATTAGGAATATACCTTTTCAATCCTCACATCGAAATCTTCATCGGGAAATTTCTCCTCGACATCAATGGCAGGTTTCATTACCACAGGAGGACCGAACCCTTCTAATTTATGTATTTTTGGTAATTCAACTCTAGAATGCCTCACAGAAGGGACCTAAAATTTTGTATCCTTTTATATTCCAGTTCTTTTCCACCACTGAATTTTTAATCACATTTAGGTAAATTTTGATTATAAAAACCGAATCCCCATAAAATGAAATAACCAGTGCAAAAAGTGAAAAACAAACGAAATATATACTTTTGGATTTTCAGAATAGCGTTAAACTGTTATACAAAAGTGAAAAACATAACACAAATGCACAAAAAAGTCATTACCACTTCTATTCAAGAGGTGCAGATTAGAAGTTAACTGCGCTTTCACTGATAGCAGTATAATGGTGTTAATATATCCACCAATCAAATTTTAAATTATTCAGCTGTGTACTGATTATCTATTAAAAAGGCAATTACTGTCTAATAAAGGCAGTTACTATCTATCAAAATCTACCGAGGACACAAGTTATTTTACCTTGTCTGATACTTTTGTAGAAATGGAAAAATACATTATAGCACATAACCAAACTGCTGATATCAAAAGCAGTAATCTAAATATAAGCGACCGTCTTCTTGGAACTATCATAGCACTCATATTACCAGCGGATTTGCAGCAGTTGATCAATAGTCAGGTTGCAATCCCCGAAGACGTCAGCTAACAGCAGCCGCCGTTTTTACTTCCTGAAATTAATTTGATCGATAAAAAGATAGAAAATGAGATATATTTAGAAAATGAGTAGCAAAACATGACCAAAATAAAGAACTAATTTGGAATTGAAGTAATAACTGGAAGTAAAAGTTCGAAACGACAGTCAGCTGTAACAATATATCTTTTATTTCTTACTCAACCTACCATTTTTTTCTAAATATTCGATATTTTATATTATCGATAAGTAATTATTCAGCTAAAAACGGAATGATCCTGTCCCCCCTATTATTATCAGACAAAATTTTTTTCAGACAAAATCCATTGTGTTTAAACGGAAAGGGTTAAAATATAGGATGCAAAATGATAGTAAAACTTAAAGTTCAGCAATGAAGTACAATCGGTATAATTAATTAAACATGATTGTCAAAAAAGTGAAGAAGATGGAACAAACTTGATGATAATCGAACAGATGAAGGATAATCTATAGTTAAAGAGACGCATCCGAAATGATCTTCTCAGAACCAGACAAAAAACAAAACCGAAATTAATTACAAAATGAAATTCTACTCGTCAAAGTGATCACAGACACAACAAAACAGCTTACTCGTTTACTTACCAATCTTTTTGTATATTTACTTTATGCAAATAAATCACATATTTCCTTTCAATTTTTAGCCAACAATTATAATATATCATTTGTAATCATTTAATAAAAACATTTCAATTCAATAAAGGCGCAGTGACTTTGGCTTTGTAGTAATGGCTTATAACACATACTGTACTCTATATAAATCACAGTGTGTACATTCATTTTTCTTCACGATTCGATCAATGCCATATATATACAAATTATGGCTAGAAATAAAAATTCTTTAAATTAATTATTAAACATGGTCATTGCATGTTTAATTAATTGAAATATTTTAATTTTTAAGTAGTTATATTTCTATATATAGTTTTTTTTTTAGATGAATTAATTTTTTACGTGAACAAAACCCATTTGAATTGACAGATGCACACATTCACTTAGTCATACACACACACACACACACACACACACACACACACACACACACACACACACACACACACACACACACACACACACACACACACACACACACACACACACACACACACATATACACACACACACGCATACATTAAAATATATTTCAATTCATTAAAAGTGCAGTGATGATTAATTTATATATACACTGCATAGAGAAGAAACAATAAGTTTGAATACTTCTAGCTATTGTAGGACATTTTAATGATTTCAATTATGAAATTTGTAAAAGAGATTTATTAAAATTTGGAGCCAATGATTACAAATGGCGAAATTAATGAAATATAAAAACAGTAAATGAACGGATAAAAAGAATGAAACAGACATGTAAAGATGAATGAACATAATGATAAGTGGAAGATATTTGATAAGAATAATGAATAGAGTTAACAAAGATCTAAGAAATATGAATGATAAGAATGAGAAGATTGTAAGGATAATGGAATAAAGGAGTAAACTATCCGTTGTGTTGCTTGATGAATCAATAAAAATGAGTAAAGACTGAACAATGTCACTTGACAAACAAGTAAGAAGAGTGGACATGTCACTCTATAATAAGTAAGAAGGGTTGACATATCATTTCACAACGAGTAAAAAGAGCGGAGATGTCACTCTACAATAAGTAAAAAGAGTGGACATGTCATTCATTCCTTTCTCTTCTCTTCAATATATAAAACACTTCCTCTCTCTCTTTCTCTCACATTATTAAATGCTATTTCAAATAAGTAAAGAAAGAATGGTGTAACATTATTTCAAACTTTAACATTCATTTTATATCTCATCAAACTTGCTGCAATATTTCAAAACTATACGAATAGATATTCTCACCCGAAAAATTCCACTCAACCGGTTCCGGTTAGAATGCCACCAATCATTCATCCCAATTCTAAAATTGACACATTATCCGGAGACTATGCAATTGTAGTACTGTTAAATTTCATGGCCGGACAGTAGGTGACGTTATGCAAAGCAATGGGAGGAATTGGTGTTAGTGAAAGATGGCGATTGTTCTGGATGAGTTAGACGGATGGTATATGAAAGCAGGTGTTTCTTTAAGCGTGACGTGTGACTCGTGTGTAGCTACGTGATCTGTTAACTTCTGCATTTCCTCATTTAAAGATCAGTTTGTTTAAAAATACGTTTAAATTGAGGAATGCAAAAGCGTAAGAGTTAGTCTTCTGAAAGTTTCTTTTTTTTTTTCAGATTGTATCTTTCAAATAATACCTGAAAAAGATGTCATTACGAAAGGAAGATGTTTACGAGACAGAAGATTTACCAGAAGATGATCAACAAATGATTGAAGATGAGATGAACGAATCAGAAGGTTATTCCATTGTCCACTTATTATTGAAAATTTCTGTAATTCTGAACTTTTGCTATTCATAGTGTGATAATCATTCATATGAAATTCGTTGTGTTAAAGAGAGGTTATAAACAAAATTTATCCCAGTAAAAGAATAATGATTGAGATTTTACAGCCGAAATTTTCTTTCACTAACCTCACATACTGCTTTTAATTAGCAAAGGCGCTTTTGCAATACGGACACATTTGCTTTTCATTTACTTATCTGAATGAATGAGTGAAGTACATCAGTATAATTTGAATGGAAAAAATTTTTCGAAATTTACTTTTATCAGCGGTGTTAGTTATATTTTAGAAATAGAGCGGGTGCACATCGACGTTGACAACGCTATGAAACGATTCAAAGGTCGTTTATTGAGCACAGAAAATGTTGGTGAGCGTTCGGCATATTTCGCATTTTTTTTTTTCAGCTATTATCTATTTGATTTTTGAGATTAAACTTGCATAACACCTTTGTATGATTTATGATCATTTTTGATTATTTCATATTAGTTGTTTTACAGAATTTCAGTAGTAGAAAATATTTTATCAGATCTTTGCATAAGAATATTTTTTCTGCACTATAAAAAAGATATACAGTAACAATTTGATCGGTGTAGATTTCTCGGATTCTATTGTACGCAGAAAGCGATGTGGATATGGTGGCGGTTCGTATGTACTTGAAGTGATTGGACCTTATGCAGATGAAACAGAAACGTTGGAGCAGAAGTTTACTCGCTTAAATTGTGAGATAAATGATCTAGCGGAATCTCTGCGAGAACAGGTTTGATATAATCACTAGTTTTTCTTGTTTATGAATTCTTTCAGTTGTTTTAACAGCCATGTCAGATGAAAATACTCATTTTTTAGTAAAATGGTAATAACTTCTGTTCTTCTAAATTACGATCCTATTCGACATGATGTTAAATGTAAAATCTCTTTTTTGTCTTTTTCAGAAAGTATCTGAGAAACCGGACTCATGTGTTGTCCATGAAGAAGATTTGATTGCTATGCTGGAAACGTTGAAGGCTTTGCAAATGAATAAAGATGACATTACAACTTGCGTTCAAAGTGAAAAGAAGTAAGCGATTGTTTTAAGGCAAATTGAAAAACTCGAAATTTCAAGTATGTGTTTTTATTGCTGGCAATTTAAAATCACTGCTAATTCTCACTGTTATTTCACTTCTTGCATAATATTGTAAACTGCTTTTAAAACTCGAATTTTTTTTGCATTACATATCAGCTATGTTTGAGGGGAGCATCAGGATTTAAATGGTCTCCATTTCTAGATTTTTTTTTTTTTTTGGAAATATAAATGAAGTCTCAATAAAACACCTAAGCTACAAAAATTGAAAAAAATCTATAATACAGAAAGAGATAATTCAGTGACAGTTCGCTTTTTGACGGAGAATTTACAGAGATGACAAAACAGAAAGTGCAGCTCCTTCTGCTGAAAATAGTATTATGAGCGGGCGTCTAGCGGTTTTGGAGAATCGAATCAACCGTTTGGAGCAGATGATTGATGGTGTTGGTGCTGGTTATGACGAATCCATGAAAATTTGCAAAATTCCAATTGCTGAAGCTATTGAAGATTTACGTATGCGTGTACAATTATTACATCCTGCTCATGTTGATGGTCTTCATTCACGCATTACGCAGCTTCTTTCTAAGCTTCAACAAGTATTACTTTATGTTTATATTGTTATCCATCATAGTTTTTTTCTTAATTTTTTTTTTACTGTTTTTTTTTTAGAACATTTGTAATCAAAACATAATCATAGCACAATGCAATCAAATGTAAAATGAATTTTGACTGCTTAAGCTATGTCCATCATAATCGACTGTTTGATAGATTGATCATTTCGAAATAAGTAGTCTTAATGCATTTATTTTATTTCGTCCATTTTATTTAATACAAGTTCTGCAAATTGCAGGTGGAAGAAAAAAAGAAGGAGAAATGCGATTCAGAGTTTGAGGATAAAGTTGATAAACTATATGAGATGATGAATCGATGGGATGTAGCTTGCACTGGCTTATCCTCCGCAGTTAAAAGAATGTATGATTTAAGAAAACTTCATGAACAAGGTACACAGTTTTTATGAAAATTTTAAAATTTTTGTCTCGTTAATCATACATTCTTTTTGAGTGTGTTTAATTTTTGTAAATATAGATGATTTCTTTGCGAAATTCAATCTTTTGTTACAGTTTTGGAATAGAAATTGGGAAATGTCAGAGTTCTTCTGACAATATTTCAAAAGTTTAAGCAAGCTTGGGAGTTGCTACTTTTTAGTTCTCCATTCCTAATGGTTCCAGTTATTAATATTAAAAAAAAATTTTAATCATTGCAACGAAATCATTTTTCTGCGATCATTATGTTAACATTATGTGATAATCAATCGCATAATCACTGTACTTAACTATGGAACGGAGTGTATGAGAAGTATTTTTAGTAAATAAAGAAGAAAAGAACTTATAGAGTCAATATTCACCCAAATATTCAATTTTGGAATATTTGGGTCTAGTCGTTATACAAAA